AAAAATCTTTTTGTACACATTCTAGGCTCAAGATTTCGTGTACAATTAAATATGGCAAGATTTGGTGTGATTGGAGCATGATTGAACCAAATAACATGAAAAAGATTCAAAAAAAGATTTCATAAAATCAAATATGTAAAACAATGAATGCTTTGGATTTTGTCAAGTTTTGTTGACCTAATATGTTCACTATATGATCAGAATCACAAACCTAATTGCCTTAGACTCTAAGCTGCGCCCCAAGAACACTTTGCAAATTGAATTTTTTTCCATAAAACACAAAACTGATTTCAAGGTTAGGGGACGATTCAAGCCTCAACTTCCATTCCATTAGATTCCTGGGGTAACTCTGAACGTGTGCCAATCCCTAACATCAACCAAAACGCAAAGAAGTGGTATCTATAACTCAAACTGTGAAGCAAAACTTTTGAAATCGCATATCATAAATCATGCGTCTTTTTGCATTTTTGTTTATTGATTCTTGTTCATATTGAAGTTTCCAAGCTAACCATTACCTTTAATTGCGTTTTCATTGACCATACGCGATTTTGCCATTGTTAACATTTAGGGTTGCAGGTTTTCTGAATTAGGGCTTTTGCGTAGAGGAAAAATTAGGACTCATGAATGCCATGGTTGTATACAGTAGGTCTGGACGAAGAAGACACAAGCCTCGCGATCAATTTATATGCACTATAGCGCTAATCGCTATTTTTCCAAAGGCAGCCTAAAACCACACTTCTAAAACCGTTGCCTATAGCCTTTATGTTTCAGAAAAAAAACTGGGCGAGGACGACGATGAGTTGGCAAGCAGTGGTTGGGTGTTTTAAATTTCGCGCGTTTATTTACTAGTGCGCTTGGTCTTTCTTTTTGTTGTTTATTCATTATAATATATCAATTGAAACTTAGTGGCTCAGCTGGCAGGTACCAATGCATGCAACCTCCAAGACCTGGGTTCGAACCCCAGGTCTGTGTAAAACCTCAATATTATTTTTCATAAATAAATCCCATGCAATGCTGGAATGAAGACGCACCATATACCCCGGACCAAGCCTTGACACGTCCCCCTGGAGATCAAACTAAAGGCTTAGATTTGAGGGACACGCTATACCTGGTCAGATGCATCACACATGATCCAAACAAAGTCAACAAGTTCAAGGCTTAATGGGCCAGATTGCTAGGCCAAAACCTCACAAATTGGGACTACCCCCCCTGGTTTGATTTTCTTTTTATATTTTATTTTCTCAATTGTTATGTTATTTATTTTTTTTTATTATTTGTTTTAATTAATTAATTATTTTTAACAAAATATAAAAACATTACAAAAAATCAGAAAAAGGATAAAAACATAAAAAATATTTATTGTATTTATTTTCTTGTAAATAATTAACATGTAAATGAATTTAGTAAAATAGGTTAATTAATTTTGATTCTTTAATTCCTTTTTTTTACAATAATAATATTCCTTTTATTTATTTTCATAAATTAAATTTGGCATGTAAATTAACTTAGATTTTAATTAGGTCAAAAATTCAATATTCTCACAATAAACTTAAAAAACATTAGAATTAGGGTTTAGTATTTCATTTTAATTTTAATTGATTTTTCTTTTTTCTTTTAAATCTTAAAAAACACAAAAATACCCAAAACATTTAATTTTTCATTTTTTATTCCTTATTAAATTTAATCTTTTTGCAAGAAGGGTCCAACGCCCATTGTTTTTAATTATTTAATTTGCGCATTTATTTTATGTCATTTATTATAATTATGTACATGTCCCAAAGCCTTGTAACAATTTTATTTCTCGCACTTTTATTTATCGCTTTATTTATGTTCCGCTAAATCGGGTCCGGTTTAATTTTGGCGATGTGGACCCGCGCCGTTTGTAATAGTCTTAGATTTATTTTCCCGTAAACTTTATAACTGTTAAAAAGCATGCAAGAATGAATGTCCTAATTAAAATCAAGCGTAGATCACAACAAACATGACAAGACAAATAACTGAAACATGACACACAATTCGCACACACCACCCCTAGGGTACGCCTCACTGTTGCCTTTCGAAAGGTGATCGTCGAGTAGAGGACGTCTTAGTAAGTCCTCATGATCCGGGAACCTGGCATGAGGGTAGCTTCTAAGGTGTCTTCCCATTGCTCTGGTGATCACCATGTCCCTAAAACTCGAATTGACCCGAACACCTCCAACGGTGGTGCTACCTACCTCTCAATGGTGGGATGGCACTACTTTTAAGGACATTTACCCAGACGAATTCCTTAGGGTAGGTAGGTTCTCAAAGATACTTGCTCTCTTCAAAACAAACTCAAAAACATCTTTTCACAAACACTTTTCAAAAGCTTTCAAAGCAAATTTTTCAAACACTCTGACGTACGAGTCGATCTGAAATTTTTCAAAGAAACTTTTTAAACCCACATTGAAAAGCAAACAAACCATTTTTGAAAACACAAATGAGCAAGTATCTAAGAGCCCATGGATAACCATGGATAGAAAGGGTGCTAACACCTTCCCTTTCTATAACCTACCTCCCGAACCGAGAGCAATCTCTTTAAAGGAATTTTTCTGTGCTTTTGTCCTTTCCAATTGGAGAAAATAAAAGACGGTGGCGACTCTTGCTTCCGCGACATTTCGCGAACCAGCTTTAAAACAGTCAGTTCCAGATCCACCGATCACACTTTCCATAATTGTTCATGTGTTCTTGCTTTTCTTCTTGGAAGTTTTCTTCAGTTGGGATGATGTTGTTGAAGACATTGTTGAAGATTGTTGGAAGTTTTAGGGTTTTAGTAAGAGGAGAGGAAGAAAAAGTTTCAGAATGTGGAAAAAGAATAAAATACTAAGTTGATTAGTTTTTATAGTGTGGAAGCTTAAACATCCACTAAGTGAGACTAGGATACGTGGGAGTCGTGGGTTGGATTGAGGAGGAGGTGGCGTAAAGGTTGATATTGGTAATAAGCGTGATTAATAATAATCATTGTTTTATAACTGCACCATGTTGTGAAATACTGATTCAAGACGGTTAAGAAATCCAAGAGGCGTCGTGATTGACGTGATTGAAGTCATACACAGTAAATGTTATGATTACTCAAAAGTCACATCAAAATCTTGCAAATATATTTAAAATAAGTGTTTCTCATAGGATCGAAATACATATTTTAAAGGGGCATTTTGTTGGCTGAAGATTTTGATGATACAATTCGAAATGAAGCAATATGAATGTTTCGTTGGAATAAAGCAAAATGTTACAGTTCGGAATGGTAGAAGCGGTTCTTCGAACGAACATGTCAAAGCTCAGAGCTTCGAGTGACAGTGGTGAAGATATATTTGAAAGAAGCCTCGAAGTGGTAACGAGACTGTGTCTGAGAAATGAGTTCGAAGCGAAGATTGCCAAAGCATTTGAAATTCAAACGCAAGCGGGATGTTGGAATTCAAAATATATATGCGCTGGAGCGTTCGAAGACGCGTGGAGGCTAGAGAGGAGCAGTGCTCTGCATGTTCCGAACGTGGCAGAATCTTATAAGCAAGACCGTTATGGTCGAAGTAGTATAAATAGAAGTCTTAGTATTAGGATTTCGTGTGTCATATCTATTGTACAAAATTCAATAAACATTCAAAATACCACATGGATAGGGAAACGAATGCTCAAACAATGTACGTATGATAACACCAAACATTTATAATTCAGTAAAACTCTTTATCTTTTCCAGTTTATCTTCCATTTTCATGTCAATGTCATTCAAATACCTTTACATTCAAAGTCATTTACTTATTTCTTGCATTTAAACGTTTTCTTCTATTCAAATCTTTTACATTTCAGAAACTCTTTTACATTTCATGCTTTTACATTCATGCTTTTTACATTAAAGTCTTTACATTCAAAGTCATTTACTTATTTCTGCATGTAAACATTTCTTTGCAATCGAATCTTTATTCATACAATTCAGTTTCGTATTTCTTTACTTGATCATGTCATTAGATTCTTTTAACATGGTAATCGAAGTGAATTGAACGTCTATAAAACATTCTAAATACAAATCCTAACTATGAATATCAGTTTTACAATTAGATTTATCCAAACGACCAATACCCCATAGGATCAATCTAGTCGATCCTGCAAGTTACCAGAGAGATTAAATAACAGTCATTAAGATTATTTGATAGTTTGGAGGACTAGCGGTTGTTTACCAGAAATCACTGTAAACACCAGGTCACCATAGTTCTTCTTCATATCTTGATGTATCTTTGAAGAATCAGGGGAAAAGATACTTGGTAATCTTGTAGTGTTATTCATCTCTAATTGCAGTGTTATTCATCATTCTTTGTCTATTGTGCTACTCTGATTTCGACTAGTTGCAACTTATTGGAATCCCCTAAATTCACTTATCGCTACAATTCACTTAGATCCACTATCTGATTCCACTTGATTCTTCAATTCCAACTCTCTCTTCTTGATGTTGGGTTATTTCCCGAGTCAGGTCATTAATGACTTCATCAGCCTTGGCTAGATCCACTTAAGCAAGATTTTGGTTCCATGCTTCGAGTTTAAAACATCTAAAGTCGAGGGATCTCTAGGGAGGTACTTGTCTTATTTAACCATTTTCCTTACTGTATATCCTTTGAAAAATTCTTATCTTGGCATCTAGGCACAAGGATTCGCTAATACCCCGACGAAACAAAAGAACGTCCCCAAATACATTACTTCGGAGTTACTCACATGAATATGACCACTTAAAGTCTTCTTATAAGCACAATATCGGAATCTGGTCTATTTTACTACCGCCTGCACCAGAGCCATGCCATGCATGGTCCTCTATGTCTGGAAAGAGTCGGAAATGAAAGTACCTCCCCTTTAGCTTTTAGATCATGGACTGCACATGTTGTTCTCAACTATTGAGGTGGCGTACGGATCATTGACTGTTCCACTCTATCTCATGAGAACTCTAGTTCACGTTTCATGAGCAGAAAACCAAAGTCATACATGGGACCAAATCATTACAATCCCGCACTTGGCTGAAAAAGATAACTCTCACATCTCATGCTCCATAGTGGTACTGCAACACCATACTTGTCTAGAAGCAATAACACGGGGTCTAAGTTCGAGGCCATGTGCTCAATGAACTGCTCAACATCGTATGACGATATCCACCTGTACAATATAAACACCATAATCCTAAAATTGTATAAGTCTCCTTTGAGGTCATCACTTTTCCCGTCCTCCCAGCTCCAATCCTTAGAAATACCAAAATTTAAAAGTGCCACACCCTAGAATTAACCCATTATGGACACGATCGAGCAAGGCTTGGCCTGACGACACCAACTTACATTTTCTATGCATGTGGTCATCCACACACTACATAAATATGAGATTTCAAGGACTACCCCACAACTATATATACCATGGCTCAAGCCTAACATTACAGTCCGCGATCACGGTGCTTATGCCATAAAACAACCACTAGTATCTATCCATCTAAACACTTTATTCCAAGCATAATTCTACAATCTTATTTAGGGTTAGATAACTAGCTTAAAATATGATTTAGTTCAGCCCGCATATCCATTCAGCTCAATTGCCGCCTAGCGTAGTTCTAGGACTTAGGCATGCTAGATAAATAAGGAAATCTAGTAGCCAATTCCACCAACGATGTCTAACCTTTAAAAGTCAACCTTCATCAAATAGGATACAATTGAATAGGGTCAGAACCTAAATCTTCCTCCATTCATGTCTTTACAACATATCAGGTTAACCAGAAAAGTTTGGCCTTCCTCCTCAACACTCGAAAAATTTTTATTTGTCCAGTAGGTCCTCAATTTACTGTCCATAACTGGTAATCACCATTGGATAAGTAATCACAATTGAAACAAAACTCAGTCTTATACCCCAAGGTCTCCTCCTCCTAACTGATTCACTTGTCATACTGACCATCTAGAAGATTTCACTTTGGTTCGATAGAAATCCTTGAAAGTTTCCAGTTCCTTGACCCCTATCGTGGGGTCTGAGCCCATTGAACACTTCACATATGATATCCTACTAATTCTTGGAAATTCTAAATAATCCCTTACTTAACCAACTTCTGGTACTAGAGTATAGGTCACCTTCGGTCTTACGTGTCCTCGTGGCGGCTCTACCGTGATTCCGCCTATCACGTATACCATCAGTGAGTTGATCAGGCTCAACAAATAAATAGTATGACAATAGAAATCAGACTAGCAACACATATTTATGATAAAGAAGAGAATTGTTAATGATGTCTCATAGTTGGGTCATGAATTGATCTGCTCTGATACCAACTGTAACACCCCACCAATATGTGACTAGAATCATATTAGTAGAATATTAAAAATTTGGTACTGAGTACATACAAAAGCCGATAAAATAACATAATAACCTGTATATGTAACACCCTAATTTGTCCGGTGTAATTTATAAATAAAATGAGAGTAATTTTAAAACATCTAAACAATTAGGATGCTACTTTCATCAACAACCTACTCCTACAATTAGATATGCAACACATATGGTAACTAAAGAACACAACATGAGTATGAACTTTGAAATTTTTGTTAGCAGCGGAAAAGCATCAACAAAAAATAGACTTACTTCTCAAACATGAGTTATAACAACAATACTCATAAAGAATTATCAAATATAAAAGTTATCCAACAATAGAGGTATATATATAGTTTCCTCCCAACATAAGCAAAACAAGCGTCGACCCCTAATGATACACATAAGAGTAGACATCGACTTAACAAACACATAAAGAAGAGCAACCTCTTCCACAAACTTCCACGCCTATACTTCTGAGGATCTACATGTTACTCATGTGGAGGCAATATTAAAACAGAAGATATAAGATTAAGAATTATATAAATAAATACATAACAATATGTAAGCATATAACTATCCCAATACAATCACCCATTAAACAATCCACACACCATACAATCCAACATATTAATACATTATACAAGCACACTCCATACCATCCAAATATTATAATAAATGATATATGCAATTCAATGAGGCTAAACTACATGACTCAATATATGTGGTACCAACCATAAACTCTCAGGTTCATTTCACTCTTGATCCCCACCATAGGACCATATCACTCCAAAAATCATTACCATCATCATAGGTAACGCTTCACCGATTTCCAACTGGAACCAGCTACTTGCACCCAATTCCCACCATAGGATTGAGGCTCACCAAAATGGACCACCGTCCAAACACCATAATTCATGACTTCATAAATAACATGCAACAACATAAACAAATACAATGATATTCACCTTAACCAATGTACTACAACATAACATCCACCAATCATATATACATGCATTACAAGCATTCAACATTGGTATTATAACAAGATATCATATAACAATACACCATTCACACATTCATTACACTACAATACCATTTATCACCAAATAACAACATCCATCATTTCTAGGTTCTCAAACTTATTTTTAAATTAAAGTAGTAACCATTTACACCAAAACAGGTAATCGGTTACATCAACTTACAGTAGATTGGATACTGGATTCTTTGCAGCGGTAACCAATTACGCCAAAAGTGGTAACCTGTTACACCCCTCATAGAAACCCTAGTTTTCACAAAATTTAACTGTGTAACCCGTTACACCAAAATTGATAACCAATTACACCCATGAAAAACCCAATTTTAGAAAAGCTGTCTCAGCCGTAATCGATTACTCCAAAAGTGGTAACCGGTTACCACCACGACAGTAGCAAATTTTCTACAAGTTCAGTGTACGAAAATCAGTCCCAACATAATTCCAAAACTCTAATTTCATGAAATATTGTGTATCCAAGTTTTACAGGGCTAGTCCCATCAACATACAATATTCCAATCATTCACCATGAAATAAATCATCCAACAATACAACACAATTACATTATCATACATCAATTTATTCAAAACATAGAAGAGATGAACATAAATATAGAGAATCCAAAACACCCACCCACATGTTATTATGCAATCCCTTATACAAAAGTCAGTCCCACCTTTACCTTAGATTGATGAAACCCAAGTTTCTATACTGAAATCCTTCTTCTCCTATGCCCTAGCTCTCTTTTCCCTTTCTTTTCTTTCTCTTTTATTTCACGTTCTGTCAGTCTGTCCCTCTATTCCCTTCTTTTTCTTATTATAATATGATTATTATTATTATTATTACTTATCCCAACTAATTAAAATAAATAATATCTCAACTAAATATTTATTTAAATAATATTCTCCTTACTATTACTTAAAATAGATAAAATAATTCAAATTAATTATTACTAATTAATATTACTCCTATCACCTCAAAAGTCTACATTATTACTCAAACACCCCTAACACCTTAAATCTCATGATTCTAAGACTACCACCCTACACCTAAGGTTCCACTAACACATCAACACATCGACCAGCACATATAATCACTCAAGTTATTTATGAAACTTAATTAAATAAATCGGGCCGTTACAACTCTCCCCCACTAAGAATATTTTCGTCCTCAAAAATTTACCTGATGCGAACAGCTCTAGATATGCCTCTTCGCTTCTCAACTTTTTCAATTCAAGGTCTTCTATCCTCACAGATAAGGTTTCAACTGTATGGTTATCCCTTACTTGTACTTCATCCATCAGAATCAAATGAGACAAATCCAGAACATACTTCCGAAGTTGCAAAACATGGAATACATCATGAAAATTCGAAAGGTTAGGTGGAAAAGCCACCATATTAGCAATAACTCCAACCCAATTAGAAATATAACACATATCGATAAATTGAGGAGTAAGCTTTCTCGATTTCAAATCACGCCTGATATCATTCACCGGGGTGACTCTAAAAATACATGGTCTCATTCTTGAAACTTAAGATCCTTCGTTCTTTTATCATGGTAACTCTTCTGCCTACTCTGCAAAGCTTTCTTCTTTTCTCGAATTAACTTCACCTTTTCAGTAGTATGCTGAATAATCTTAGGTCCAAGCACTACACTATCACTAGATTTATGCCAACATAGAGGTGTCCTACACCTATGACCATGCAGTGCCTCAAAAGGCGCCATTCCAATGCTAAAATAAAAACTATTATTGTAAGTGAACTCTATCGGTGGAAGATGTCAATCCGAAGCACCTCCCTGCTCAAGGACATAAGCGCTCAACAAAATCCTCCAAGGACTGAATAGTTCTCTCTATCTGACCATATGTATGTGGATGATAGGCAGAACTCTACCTCAACTTGGAACTCAAAGGCCCCTGTAAACTCTCCCAAAATCCTGATTGAACCTCGAGTCTCAATTAGAAATAATACTCAACGGAACTCCATGCAACTTCACAATCACAAATATGTAAATCTCTATGAACTTCTACAAATAAAAACTGATGTTAATTGGTATAAAATGCGCCAAATTTGTCACAAAGTCCATTGAAATGCTATCCAATTTCCATTCTAGAATGTCTAACAGTTGCATTATTCCCGAATTCTTATGGTGTTCAACCTTTAACTTCTGGCAAGTCAAACATGCATACACGAACTGCACCATATCACTCTTTAGTCCCGACCACCAAAATACCTTTTTTAGATCCTGATACATATTAGTAGCTCTTGGGTTAATAGTCATGTTGCTTTTATGATCCTCTTCTAAGATCCTCTTCTTCAACTCAGGATTATCAGGTATACATATCCTACCTCGGAATCTCAATACACCATAGTCATCCACTTTAAAATCACTTTCTTCATTCTGATTACTCACAACTACCAAGTCCACAAATTTCACATCCATCTTCTGACTCTCTTTTATATTAACAATAAAATCATTGTTTATTTTCAACATACCTAACATCACACTCTGCGGTGTTAGGTCACAGATCAAACTCAAATCTCTGAACTGCTCGATAAGTTCCAACTGTCTAACCATCAAAGCAAACATATGCAAGGACTTTAGACATAAAGCATTATCCATGACATTATCTTTACCGGGATGATAGTTCAAGCCAAAGTCATAATTCTTTAGAAAATCTAACAACCTTCGTTGCCTCATATTCAAATCCTTCTGATCAAACAGGTAATTTAAACTTTTGTGATCACTGAATACCTCAAATATGGAGCCATAAAGGTAATGCCTCCAAATATTTAACACAAACACCACTGCAGCCAACCCTAAATCATGAGTAAGATAGTTTCTCTCATGAACCTTCAATTGTCGTGAAAAATACGCCATTACATTGCCATATTGCATAATCACATCACCTAAATCCATCTTAGGCGCATCATAATATACTACAAATGGTTCATTAGGATATGGAAAAATCAGAGTTGGAGCCATAGTCAACTTCTTCTTCAGCTCTCTGAAACTTTCTTTACAATGAACATCCCAAAAAACGCTTTGCCTTTACAAGTTAGCCAGGTTAACGGAAGTGCCAACTTAGAAAAGCCTTCAATAAACCTGCAGTAGTAACCACCAAACCCATAAAGCTAAGCTTTTAATCTCTGTAGCTGACTTAGGAGCCTCCTATTGTAGCAATACATCTACTTTGGATGGATCCACAATGATACCATTACCTAAAATAACATGCCCAAGAAAACTAACCTCTTGCAACCATAACTCACACTTTGACAACTTTGCATATACGTTATTTTCTTTCAACACTTGCAACACAATTCACAAATGCTCAACATGCTCTTCATTTGACTTGGAATAAATCAAAATATCATCAATAAAAACTACCACGAACTGATCCAAATAAGTATAAAATATATGATTAATGTATTCCATAAACACTCCAGGTGCATTCAAAACTCCGAACGACATCCCCGAATATTCGTAGTGCCTATACCGAGTTTTAAAAGCCGTGTTCTGAATATCCTCATCATTCACCCGAATCTGATGGTAATCCGACCTTAAGTAAATTTTGCTGAAAACACACACACACCTACCATTTGGTCCATCAAATCATCTATTCTCGAAAGTGGATACTTGTACTCA